GAGCGGGATAGATGAGTTCCGTAAGGGGTCATGTGAATATTCATCAACGAGACGCGTGATCGTCTGGCAACCACGCCCTATAAATACTGCGGATCTTTTGTCATCCTACTACCCTCTCCGAGAATGGCTTTGCGAGAGAGTTCGAAACGTGTGACTAACAGAGTTCTAGTTGCAGTGATCGTGTCTCCTTCTTTGGGGCAGATTTTGTCTTTAATTTTCATGTTCAAACGAAGGTTGGCAATTGAGCTCACTGAAACCAAATGATAGGCGCTGGAAATAAATTAAAAGTTAACTTCGACTGGAATTGTAGTATTCAGAAGAAAACAGAAAACACTAATCTGTTTGGATCTTGTTGCGTTTTTCGCATACTCGAAAACGCATGTGAAAATAATATATGAGACAGGTGACTGGATGAGCTGAAATGCATTATTGTTTATAAGTTAAAAGGACTGGAGTTGTGCTTACGGCATAAAGGAGAACAGCTCCACACGCGCGCAGAATATTTTCAGCAAGCTGTTTGATGTGGAATGCGAGTCTACTTTCAATCTAAAAGTAAGAAATGTGATTAAAACGAACTGAAACGCAGTCGAGGACGTCGTTTGATTTTTTTGATGGTGCTGACATAGGACTTTATCTTAAAGGTGGACCTGAACCGACCAGAGACCCGGAAGAGAGGGAAGAAGCAGGCGCTGATCCGAACTTAGACGGCGGATAGCAGTTTTATGAAAATTAAGATGATGGGAAAATGTAATTCTAAGCATTGCAAGTTTACAGTTGACATTTCATTTGGCCACTGTCATAGTCACTATTTGTCTAAGCAAGAAAGTCCAACGAAACTGAAGCTGCACAAAGAGACAACAAGTTGTGGAGATCAACCCGTTCGATAGACAAATAAATAATTAGCATTTAGCCTCCTATCCTGCAAAGTCACGCTCCTACCGTCTTTGAAATAATGGTGAGGCAGAAGCTAACAGTTTATTGGTACCAACGTCTCAGTCTTGCACTGCCAATAATGATTTGACAGGTCATTATTCAATACGCTTTCTGCCAACTCAGTACTTTGTGGCATGCTCCTCACATTATTACGATGCACCGCACATCGTCCGCCTGATTAATGGCCTTGAATCACCCCCTTATCGTTTGTGCCATTTGCAGCCTAGATAAAGGGGGGCTTCATCGATATTACCTTGTGGATCACACCTTTCTTCATGTACGATAGTCGGATGCGGTGCCTGAACGCTTTGCCATGACAGCCACTTATTTTATTGTGTTAAAATTTATTACGAGTATTTGGTTCAATTTGGTTCCCAAGAAAGTGTGAGTGGATATTTGCATGCTATCTGCACCGATCCCTCGCACTTTGGCGCAACCAACAACCGCACTTGTTCAGCGTTTCCCGCCGGTAAGGCTTTCAACGATAAACAAATCGATGGCCACTTGATGTGGAGATGGTCCGTAACCAGCACAACTTCCTATTATTTACATATCCTTAATGTCTGCGGCAGGTCCCAATGCCCCTCATACAATAGGGACCATAGATGTTTGATAAGAACGTGATAAGTCTGGTTCGAATGTAGTTGATGGACGCGCCGCGACAAAGACAGAAACGTAGGGCGCAAAATGCGCCTTTTATCGATAAGCAGACACTTCAAGAGACGCAGTCCCCCGCTTAGAGAAGCTTGTTCGTCTTTTAGCCTGTTGCGTTCATCGTGCTCCCTACAGTAATAGCGGTCATTTAATAACAGGTATGTGAATTGCCAGTGACTATGACCTTGCATGTTTCAGCATAATCGCACTCCAGCAGACAGCAATGCTTCTTTTTTTACGGTGAGACACTAATTCGTATACTTGATATTCAGTCCGGGGGGGGGAATGTCGGGGTTTTAGCCCTGTCCTCTAGGTCACCGATTGACGTAACAAATCGAAAGGAGTTGGTATATGTAAGGCCCCAAGTCCTGCTTAGCGTTGTTGCAGTGCAAGAGAAGGAGAAGATTTGACTAGCCTGATGTTTCGGATTCATGCTCGAACCCATCATCGGAGACAAATGCAGATAAGGGTGACCGGTGCACAGTGTGCGCAGTATTTATAGTCCGTAGTGTTAGGAGCCGTCCTAACCGACGCATACAGTCCTGGAGAGACCCTTTCAGGTCACGCTATCGGTCCGCACACACACACACAAAGACAGCGCGCGCACGTGCGGGCCTT